AAAAAAAAAAAAGAGATGAGGTCTTGCCAAGTTGTCCAGGCTGCTCTTGAACCCCCAGACTCAGGCAATCCTCCTGTCTCCACCACCCAAAGTGCTGGGTTTATAGACTTGAGCCACTGTGCCCTGCTCTTCTAGGATTCTTATAGATTGAGGCTTTAGGTTTAGGCCTTTGATCCATCTAGAGCTGGGTTTTGTGTATGGTGAGAGGTAGGGGTCCTGATTCAATTTTCTGCATGTGATCAGCCAGTTTTCCCAGTACCATTTACTGTATAAGTTCACCTCTTCCCAGTAGTTGTTGGTGGAGGCTTTGTCAAAGATGAGCTTTGTCAAATTTGCTAAGAAATTGAGGTTTTGCTTCTGAAATCTCTTTCCTGTTCCATTGGTCTATATGTCTGTTCTTGTACTGATATCGGCCTGTTTTGATTATTTTAGCCTTACAGTAAAGTTTAAAGTCTGGAAGTGTGATACCTCCTGCTTTGCTTCTTTTGCTAAGGATTGTTTTGGCTATTAATGGTCATTTATGTTTCCATATGCATTTCCATAGTCATTTCCAGGTCTGAGAAGAATGATGTTGGCATTTTAACGGGTAATGTACTGAATCTATCATACTCAGCGATCTATCCCAGAAACAAAAAACTGAGTACCACATGTTGTGACTTATAAGTGGACCCTGAACATTTATCATAACACTATCAGAAATGATTTGACAGTAGCAGGACACTGCCAGGGGAGAGGCACATGACATCAGTAAGGGTGCCTGATCTCAAACCAGGCAAAGCGGGGACCAAATGGAGGCCCAAACTTTACCTGTACGATGACCACTTATCTACCTAATGCTGAATTGTACCCCACATCTTTAAAACAAACAAACAAGACTTCTGAACAACAACAACAAAAACCAAAATATAGCAAAATGCTGAACATTTAAGGCCTCTTGAATTTGAACTCTGGTCATCTGGATGTGTTTTGGAAGACTGATTCTTGTGAGCGCTGTCAAGATGGCTGGAGGGGCCACTGGCAGTGAGGGTAAGGTTTAAGGAGCTAGACTCCAAAATCATAAAAAATGGCATTTTAATTGATGTTTACGAAACATGCTTATGAAAACTATAAAACTTTCAAACAATGACATATCAGTTAAAATACTTCTTTTAAATCATCTCTGTTTCTTACTTTAATGATACTCTGAATCTCAGTTTTAGACATAGGCTAAAACTGTAATAAAATAGTCAACAAATCACTTATCACGGCTGGAGATCAGTTTCCTGTCCTCTAGAAATCAGAGGACTGCTGACAAAATTAAATGAGATAATGGATATAATGTGTATCAAATAGGTCTTATGACTACATGGATTAAACTAGCCGTTTACTGTCATTTTTCTTATGTCAGTACTCATTATTTTCCTAATTAATTAAAAAAAAGTCTTAATATATAGAATAGGCTGGGTGTGGTGGCTCACGCCTGTATTCCCAGCACTTTGGAAGGCCAAGGCAAGATGATTGCCTGAGCCAGAGTTGGAGACCAGCCTGGGCAACATAGCAGGGCCTCGTTTTTATTTTTTTTAAAAAAGGAAATTAGCTGGGCATGGTGGCACTCCTTGTAGTCCCACCAGCTACTTGGAAGGCTGAGACAGAAGGTTCACCTGAGTTCAGCAGGTGGAGGCCGCGGTAGCTGTGATCGTGCCACTGCACTCCAGCCAGGGAGATAGAGTGAGACACTGACCTCCACCCTAGCCCCCCAAAAAGAAAAGAAGACAGAGAGAGAAAACAATTTAGAGTTTGGCTAAATTAGAACTTTAATGTGGTTATATAGAATCACAGGGCTGATTCTTTCCTTCAATAATTAAGAAACTGAGGCCTGGGTCTCACAATGACTAAGAACAGTTGGGACCAAATCCAGGTATGTTAACCCTGTTCCTAGTTTTATTTTCACCCATAGTGGTGTCTTGTGACATGTGGAAGGCTTCGATAATTATTTATTTTGTACTATGGTATAATTAGCATATTATAGTAGGTAGCACACTGGCTACTGCAAATCACTGGTAATTTGCCTGAAAAAAATCAAATCAAAAGAAACTGAGTTCAAACTAAGACTCTGAAACAAAAACAAAATATCCCCTTTTCTTACAAAACAAAACTAAAAAGCAATTTTACCTTGGTAACAGTTAACATATAAAAATTAGTTACACTGTTGTCGTGAGCTTGCTTGATTCGCAGTCTGCATTCTTCTTCATCAATTAATTCACCAACGTATTCATTTACAAATTCACCCTGCAGAGAGACATGCAATATGTAACTGTAAAATAAGTGCATTATATTTAAAAGCTTAACAACACATGTATAAATCCAAGATAATTAAGTAAACAAACTCCTGAAAATGTATCTTCAACCCTTGAAAAAATGTTTATTCATGGGCATCCAGGTGGCATTATTTTTTCTTGTCCAAGTGCCTTACAAGGTGATCATCTGCTTGCATTTTCTTGCTGACAATGCTGTTTCTATAGTCCAAGTGACACCATGTGGTTCATTACTGGGATCTGGGGATAAAGCTCACTCCAGCCTTTGAAGCTGCACGTTAAGACTTTTTACTAGTTAGTAGTTGTGGGGTTTAGGAATAAGCCTTGGAAAAGATCTGAATCTGAAACAAACTGTTTTTGTTTTTAAGCTTATTTTGAAGTAATTCTTGATATTACTAAAGAACAATATCAAGCCCAGAAAATTGACATTAATTAGTACAATCCACAGACCTTATTCAGATTTCACCAATTTTACACATACTTGTGTGTATGTGTGTTTCTATGCAGTTTTATCAGGTGCAGAATCATGTAATCAACACCACAATCAAGATATAGAACTGTTGCTTCATCACAGAGTTTCCTCGTGACACTCCTTTATATTCATACCCTTCCTCTACCCCTCTTTCACCTCATGCCATTTTAAGCCCTGGCACCCACTAATCTGTTCTCCATCTCTATAATTTTGTCATTTCAAGAATGTTCTATAAATGTAATCATACATAGGTATGGAACTTATCGAGATTGGCTTAAAAAAAAAAAAAACACCACCTCAGGGTAATTCCCTTGAGATCCATCCAAGTTTTTGAGTTATATCAATAGTTTGTTCTTTTTAATTTTAAATTTCTGAGTAGTATTCCACAGTATGGATATACCATAGTTTGTTTAACTACTGAAAAAAAACTTGGATTACTCCCAGACTTTGGCTATTACAAATGAAGCTGCTAATGAGCATTCAGGCAAAAGTTTCTGTATGGACACAGTTTTTCATTTCTGGATAGATAACCACGCCTGTGCTTCCTGTACCTTAGAGTGAGTCCATGTCTATCAGATTTCTGTCCTACTCGCTTCTTTCCCCACCTACCACACAGATTTTTCACTAGCCCTTTGCATACATCAGTATCACAAAATCGTTGATAGTAAATATCAGTACTCTAAAGAGAAGCACTATATCATATTTTCTGATTTCGATAAATGGTTAAGAATATAACTCACAGCCTTAAAAATATTACTTTTTCTATTCACAAAAGTATATGATTGCTTCAACAATATGAGAAAAAGAAATGAGTAGGATAAACTAGAAGGCATCAACCTAGTCTCCCGGGTATCAGTCTTTTCCCTTGAAAGTGTGTGGCTGGTGAGATCAACGAGGAACACCAGTCTGCTTCAAGGAGCGACACACTTGTTTCAACTGGGAAACAGTCACAACAAAAGGTGACCTCTGGGTTTTTCTTTCTCCCATTTTTATTTATTGTACAAGCTATGACAAAGGTTGGTTTGCCTGTAATCCTAGTGCTTTGGGAGGCCAAGGCAGGAGAATTGCTTGAGCCCAGGTGTTTGAGACGAGCTTGGGCAACATAGCCCCATCTCTACAAAAAATTAAAAAAAAAAATTAGCTGGGTGAGGAGTTACATGCCTGTAATCCTAGCTATTTGAGAGGCTGAGGTGGGAGGCTCACTTGAACTCAGGAGTTTGAGGCTGCAGTGAGCTATGATTGCGCCAATATACTCTAGCCTGGGTGACAGAGCAAGACTCTGTCTCTAAAAAAGAAAAATATTGTATCTAACTGCAGCACCACCAACAGTTAATTTTCTCCACCTTTTCTTTGTAGTCCTTTCTCATGAAGGACACAGGGCAGTACTACACATTCGTGTATTATGCACTATTGGCCTCAAGTGGCTTTTCCTGTATCCAGCTTGGACTATGACATCAGCTGATAAACAACATTTTGCACTATTATATAATATCAAAGGGTAGAAGAAGACTGCATTGCCACCTACTGTTTCTAAACTTAACTATTTTAGGGCAAATTTTAAAAATGGAAACCTATAGAGCAGAATTTCAACCAAATCGGCTCTGCTTCATCTTTTTTTCATACATTGGGATTCATTTGGTAAGATTTCATTTTAAAAAATGGTTCCATGGCTTTAGAAGTTTCAAAATGATTTACCATGGTTTATATTGTTCTTATTGTTTTAGTTGGGGGTCTCACTCTGTCGCCCAGACTGGAATGTAGTGGCTGATATCAGATATGATGAGTGCAAGTCTCACAAACTTATACCATTTTAAGTCAAGATGGAAATGCTTCAGATGTCCTAAAAGTAGCAAACCTTTAGCCTCAGAGAGTTGCATACTAGACTTAAAAAAAAATCATTAACTGTGAATTCAACTATAAACAAAAATAACAAAGAACATAGAAAATGCTAAAAATCTGTCCTTAAAACTTCAGCAAAAGGCTATAATTCAATATTCAGTTTTTAAATCTGAGAAAGAAGCCACTTCATAACAAGAAGTTCCTTTTCTCATTCTGGCACACATTTTCAGGAGTCTGTTATATATGAAAAGAAGGGGACTGACTGTGTATGTTCAATTTCATATTGGTCTCTTTCCTGTAAATGTCCCCAAACCTATTTCACGTTGCTTATATGCTTTTCAATGACTAAATGGGGGGAGGGGGGAGGGGGAAGCCAAAAAAATTATTTTTTGGAGAGCACGTCCCTTGTAGTACAGAATTCCTCCTGCTAGGTAAGTTGTTCTAGGAACCCACCAGCACAGTGTACCAGCTAGTGTTGTGAGAGGCTGTACTCGGCTTCAGTGAATTTTTTTGGGAAGTTCTTTCAATGCATTTGCCTATTTTATGCTGGGTGATTTACACCAACAACTGGCCCACACCATGCTGAGTGTTCAGCTTTTGAATCAAAATGGCATGGCCCCATGCCCCACTCCATGTTTACCTGGTCTCACCCTTAGTGACGTTTTTTCATTTGTTTGTTTCCCCAGATTAAAAAACCCTCAAAGGGAAAAGTTTTGCTGATGTGAAAGAGGTGAAACAAAAAACAGCAACACTCAAAGGCATCAAAAGTGATGAGTTCAAAAACTGTTTTAAGCATGGACAAAGCATCTCGGGTGTACTGTACCAATTGGAGAACACTTTTGAAGGTGGCTAAAGTTTAAACATAAATATGAATAAATACACATTTTTGTTGGCTTTTTTCCTGAGTCAGTCTCATTCTTTCACCTAAGCTGGAGTGCAGTGGCATGCTCACAATCACTGCAGCCTTGACCTGGAGGGTTCTGGCGATCTTTCCACTTCAGTCTTCCAAGTAGCTGGAACCACAGGTGTGTGCCACCACACTCTGCTAATTTTTTGATTTATTGTAGACAAGGTCTCGCCAAGTTGCCTAGGTTGGTCTCAGACCTGTGGGCTCAGGCAATCCTCTTGCTTCCACCTCCCAAATGTTGGGATTACAGCATGAGCCATCACCCCTGGGGAACAATTTTTTATAAATAAAATCTGGGTTTCTGAGGTCCTCTTTCTGTATATATTCCTAGCTATTTGTGTGTGTGCTTTTTTTTTGTTTTTTTTTTTTGAGTTGGAGTCTCACTCTGTCGCCCAGACTGGAGTGCAGTGGCCGCTCCCAGCCACCGCAGCCTCGACCTGCTAGGCTCCGGCGATCCTTCTGCCTCAGCCTTCCAAGTAGCCAGAATTACGGGCATGCACTACCACGCCCGGCTAATTTTTTGATTTTATTGTAGAGATGAGGTCTCGCTGCCCAGGCGGGTCTCGAACCCGCGGGCTCAGGCAATCCACTCACCTCAGCCTCCCAAAGGCGTGGGATTACAGGCTGAGCCATCGAGCCCGGCCCTAGCTATTTTTTAAAGACTACTTTCTTACATTAACAATCCCTCAAGTGGTAGAGAGCCGTAAAGGCCAGATTGTGTTTTCTTTTCTCTTGATTATATCATTAACCTTACAAATTATGTTAGAATACATTTTAGAATAAATCCAACGACTATTAAAGGTGTTAACACAATATTAAACTGATGGATTTCAGGATGACCTCACGAATTCCCCCTAAAATTTTTATGCACAGTATTAAAGTAATATAAAAATTTTGCATTATATAATGATATTTTTAATGTAGCTGACCTTTGATCAAGCAACCCAATCCACATAGCCGATGTATCAGCAAATCTTGTTGGTCTACCTTGAAAATCTCAGAAATCCAGCCACTTCTCTCCCAGCTCAACTACAACCCTAATGGCCCCAGGCCTGTAATTCATCTCTCTCCTGGACTACTCTAACGGTCTCCTTTTCATCCCTCATTCCTCCTTGTCATAAACTCTCCATACTACAGCCAGAGCTAACCTTTTAAAACCCAACTGTGGTAGACAGAGTCTCAAGGAGGCCCTGTGGTTCCTGCCTTCTGGGGTTCAAGCCATTGTGTGATCCCTCCCCTTGAGTGTGAGTGGAGCCTGTGATTCACTTCTAACCAATGGAATACAGCAAAGGCAACAGGATGTAAATTATCATGTGATCACATAAGACTTTGGTGTCCATCTTGCTGGAGTGTAACTCTCCCATTCTGGCTGTTAGGAAGCAAGTGGCCATGCTGGGAATCCCATGTGGCAAGGAACTGTGGGCAGTCTCTAGAAACTGAGAGCAGTTCCTGGCCAACAGCAAGGAAAAAAAAAAAAAACAAGCAAAAACAAACCGAATCTCTCAGAACTAGAGTTACAGAGAATGGAGTTCTGCTAGCAATCATGCTAGCAGGGATGCAGATCCCTAGTCAACCACCAGATGAGAAACCAGCCCTGGCCGACCCCCTGAGATCCCTCGTGGATCCTAAGTAGAGAACCCAGGCCAGGCATGGTGGCTCAGCCTGTAATCCCAGCACTTTGCCTGGGGGTTCGAGATCAGCCTGGGCAACTTGGTGGGACCTTGTCTCTACAATAAATCACAAAAACTAGCTGGCGTGGTGGCGTGCGCCTGTAGTTCCAGTTACTTGGAAGGGTGAGGTGGAAGGATCGCCTGAGCCCAGCAGGTTGAGGCTGCGGTGGCAGTGAGTACGCCACTGCACTCCAGCCTGGGTGACAAGAGTGAGACTCCAAATCAAAAAAAAAAAAGGGAGAACCCAGTTAAGCACTGCCAGAACTCCTGACCCACATAAACTGTGAGATAATAAAATGTGTGCTAAGTTTCAAGTTGCTAACTTTGTAGAAATATTGGTATGCAGTAAAAAACGAATACACCAACTCAGATCAAGTTGCTTCCTACTAACATCCTCCTTAGTTTCCCATCCCACAGCCAATGAGGCCCCGTCAACTCTCGCCCTGCCTGCCCTTCTTGCCTCACCTCCTGCTGCCACTCCTCTTGGCTCCCCTCTAGGCATGCCAGCTTCCCTGCTGTCCTGGAACACATGGTGCCTTTACACTTGCCTCTTCCCTCCAGCCTAACATGCTCTTCTGTGTGTGCCTGGTTGGCTTTCTACTTCACAAAGTCAGGTCAAATGTTGCCTCTTCAGCCTTCCTGAGACAACCCGTTTAAGAGGGTAATCCTGTCACCACCTTTTCCAACCTCATTTTTCTTCAAAGCAGTCAGTGCTGCTCCACACCACATATCTGGTTTATTATCAGTCTCCTCTAGCAGATCCACAAAGGTAAGGGCTTTATGTGCCTTGTTCACCATTGTTTTCCAAGTGTCTAGAATAGTACTTGGCACATAGAAGTAGCTTAATAAATATGTAGCCAATAAATTAATGTCACTTCAAGCAATCTGACCTATAGAAATAGGTGCACAAAGATAGATGACCAAGAATGTTCATTGTAGAATTAAAATATTTATTTATTTATGGGGGAATAGGTTAAATAAATTATGGTACTTTATACTATGGGACTACAATGAGACTGTTAAAAAGAATGGCGTGGAACCTACATGTACTGTCAAAAATGTACTTATGATACATTGTTTGAATGGGAAGAAAATATGGAATGTATGCTTAGAAACCCCTACAAATATAGAATACATGAATATGCATCTTATATCTGTTTATGTTTATAATCATATAGGAAACGTTCTAAAAGGCTACAAATCAAACTATTAACAAAGGTTATCTTTGGTAAGGAGACCAGAAATTAACGGGATGAAGGAGGAATTTCACTCTACTATCTGTTCTGTACCATATGAATTTTCTTTACTGTTAGATAGTATTTTTCAATTACAAAGGTGATTTTTTTGGCTGGGCACAAAGGCATATGCCTATAATCTCAGCACTTTGAGAGGCGAAGGCAAGAGGATGGTTTGAGACCAGGAGTTTGAGACTAGCCAAGACAACATAGCAAGACCTTGTCTCTACAAAAAAATCAAAAAATTAGTCAGGTGGGGTGGTGTATACCTGTAGTCCCAGCTACTTGGTAGGAGGATCATGTACTCAGGAGATCATGGCTGTGGTGAGCCGTGATCGTGCCACTATACTCTAGCTTGGGTAACAAAGTGGGACTATGACTCAAAAAAAAAAAAGTTTTGTTTGTTTTTGGTCAAGAATAGTACAATTTCCCTGAGGTCCACCTTCTCTCAGTCTATACATCTCAAGTTCTGTACAACAGATGGCACTAGGCAAGCTGGGAGTGGGCTTAGGGGTGGGAGGCTTGTTTTAAAATGCAGATTATTCCAGACTCATGCCAAATACTCTTAATTCATTAAGAAAACATTTATAACAAGGAACTCAGGAGATCCTCAGGCACCCTAAAACTTGAGAGCCACTGTTTGAATAGTAGGATTTACTAGTGATTTTCATTTAAAATTCTTCTACAATGGCCAGGCATGGGGCCTCCCAACACTTTGGAAGGCTAAGGCAGGAGGACTACTTCAAAAGCAGCCTGGACAACATAGCAAAACTCTGTCTCTACAAAAATAAGAATAAAAATTAAAAATCACAGTCATGGTGACATGCAGTTGTAGTCCTAGCGACTCAGGAGGCTGAGGCAGGAGAGTTGCTTGAGCCCAGGAGTTTGAGGCTGCAGTGAGCTATGATCATACCACTGCCATTCCATCGTGGGCGACAGAGAGAGACCCTATCTAAAAACATGAAAAATAAAAACAAAAAATTTTCCATAGTGGCATGAATTCCTTGTATTAAACAGACACTGCCTTGAAAAATGCCTTGGCCAGGCTCGGTGGCTCAACCTGTAATCCTAGCACTTTGGGAGGCTGAGGCAAGTGGATTGCCTGAGCCTGTGGTTTTGAGACCAGTCCCGGCAACTTGCTGATACCTTATCTCTACAATAAATCAAAAAATTAGCTAGGTGTGGTAGCACACATCTGTAGTTCTGGCTACTTGGAAGGCTAAGATGGAAGGCTTGCCGGAGCCCAGTAGGTCGATACTGGGGTGGCTGTGAGTGTGCCACTGCACTCCAGCCTGGATGACACAGTGAGACTCCAACTCAAAAAAAAAAGAAAAAAGAAAAACT